TGACGTGTCTCTGAGAGAATGGGCGGTGTGTAATCTGGAAACGTGTCACATTATGGAGTGTTGCATCTGGATGGGTGTCCGACTAGATGCACCTCTACTAGCCCAATCCACGCTTTTTTTTCTGACTGGTAATCCGCTCGTCACTCAGAAGAGACCGTGCATGCGCTGCATGCAAACTCACGCACACGTAGAGAGAGAGAGAGAGAGAGAGAGAGAGAGAGAGAGAGAGAGAGAGAGAGAGAGAGAGAGAGAGANGAGAGAGAGAGAGAGAGAGAGAGAGAGAGAGAGAGAGAGAGAGAGAGAGGAGATGTTGGCTGATGTGGGTTCTGGGAGAGGAGGATAAGGATCGGATAACGATGAGGAGGATAGGGTGAACGAGAAGATTACTTGATTGGTGGTTGTGACTCGTGAGTGATGTAACTTGCCAGATTTGGAACGTATGCTGTTTCCGGCATATTTCTGGGATAAGGATGAGGATAGGGTGATGAAGAAGAAGAAGAAGAAGAAAAGACGTGATTGGTGATTGCGAGTGATGCGACTTTCCAGATTTGGAAATTTGCTACTGCTTCTTGCTTATGCCATTTTTCTGGGGGTAACGGCGAGGGGATCATGTGGGGGAAGGAGGAGAAGTGTAGGAGGTACAGTCATCTTCTGCAATCGCGTCTGGATAACGACGACAAAAAAAACTACCCGTGACCAACATCTCCACGTGGCAGCCCCGTGATTCACGTGATTCACGGCTCACGGCTTGATTGGATTTCCATTCCCATCTATGAGACGTCGGCGGAGACAAGCGGATCAGCGCAAAGAGGAGGAGGAGGAGGAGGAGGAGGAGCAGGAGGAGGAAAATGAAGAGGACAGCATTCTCCGTGGATGTCGATCGCGATCCCGATCTTGCAATCAAGAGATTGGTTGTCATTCACCATCTGCAAGGGGTTCATCCCGATACCGACCTTCCATCTGATCGCGTACCATGTGACTCTGCAGAATGAGCATCAACGGTTAGCGCGAGGGGTTCATCCCGATACCGACCTTCCATCTGATCGAACGGCTGAGTGTTCGTCACATATGGGACGCGCTGGGTGATTGCAAGTGGGGAAAGTGTGGAGGGAGAGGAGGAGGAGGAGGAGGAGGAGGAGGAGGAGGAGGAAGAGGAGGAGGGGGATTTGTGTGTGGTTGTGTTGGCTGTGTTCAAGGCTCGACGGCTGCTGGCGAGGAGAACGTTCAATCGGCGGTATGACGAGGAGAGTGGAGCTCAGGAGGAGGGTACCTCTCTCTCCTCACTCTCTCCCTCTCTCTCTCTCCCTCTCTCTCATCTGGGTATTGATAGGTACGTACGTTCATGTCCTCCTCCTCCTCCTCCTCCTCTCTCTCGTTCGCTTTCCCGCTTTCTTTTCTCCTCTTCTCTTTCTTTCTTTTTTTTTTTTTTTCGTTTTTTTCCCCTTTTTTTCGTTCGCTTTTTTCTTTTTTTTCTTTTTTCTTTTAAAGCTCTCTCTCTTTCCCTCTCTCCTCCTCCTCTTTCTTATTGTTACCATTTTTTTTAGGGTGTACTCAGACTGGCACAATCTTGCATGTATCTGACCGCAATTGGGACCCGAACCTGGATGTATCTGACCGCAATTGTGAGCTCGACTGTATCTTACGTACGGTGAGGGTGGATACGGTAGCCATAGCCCTACCTCTCGGAGCCGCATTGTTCTTTTTTTTTTTTTTTTTTTAGAATCAATTTTTCATTTTCTATGAGAGCGTTTTTTTTTTTTTTTATGAGAGCTTTTTTTTTTTTTTTTTTTTTTTTTTTTTTTTTTTTTTGTTTGTTCACATCAGGGTAACCGGAAGCCCGAAAGTATGGGACCCCTTGGGGATGCGTTCGGCCGTTCGGGCCGAACGCGGACCAAAAAAAAAAAAAAGTTCACCAAAAAAATCTGAAAAAAAGATATGTTATGGAGAAAAATAAATTAAACAAGATTTGCCTGAGTATTACATCCGAATTACTTACCAAATTTGAAATAAAAATAAAATACGGAAAACAAATACTAATAATAAAAATAATTAAAAATAAAATAAAAAGAGAATTAAATTTAGTGAGTGCGCGAGCATGTTTTCGACACCGCCATCTTTGGCGATTTTTCATTTTTTTTTGGCATATAAGCACTAGTACCTTTTCCACGTGGGAAAATAGGGAAAACTGGCAGTTTTCCCAAGGGCCTGAATTTTCGGAGGTCGGGCCCGACGACGACTGCCATTGATAAATCTGATCGGCGGCCGTCGTAAGATGCAAAAATAAAAAAAAAGAAGAGGAGCTAATGTGAGTAAGGATACTATCTCCAATATGATAACTTCTATAAGAAACGGTAATTTAAGTAAAGCTAAAATAGTCCAAATTCCAGCGACACAAACTGCTAGAAGTATTGCGAAAATTCTTCTCGATGAAGGATTTATAGAAAATTTTCGTGAAGTTGTTATTTCTGATAAGAATTATTCTTTATTAACTTTAACATTCCGCTGCAAAGGTCGGATGCCTACCCGAGGCCCGCTATTTTCCAAGCGGCAAAGGTACTGGTGGTTAAATGCCCTGAAAATTTATTGTACTTCACATAATACAAAACCCACTAAAAAAGTTTCAAAAAATAATAAAATTGTTTAGACCCCTAACTTAAGTGAAAACAAAAAGTAAAAAGTGAAAAAATACGTGGGCGAGCACGTTTTGACACCGCCATCTTTGGCGATTTTTAATTCTTATGGGGCTTAGCCAAATGACTTGAAACTTTACAGGCATGCACCACACCTCATAGAGAACTCACAGAAAAAAATTCAGAAAAAAATTATTATTTTTAGGCCCCGAAATCATTTTTGGCGGGGGCAAACGTACGGACGTACGTACGGAGGTCTGTACGTACGGGCTGGTGACCTGGTTCACATCACATTTCACACATGGGATGCATCTGAGGGCAATTACGTCCAGTGACCTGGTTCACATCACATTTCACACATGGGATGTATCTGAGGGCAATTACGTCCAGAAAAAAAAAAAAAAAAGTATACGAGTGTGAGTATGCCCTTAAGTTTTAGGTCTCTCCTGAAAAAGACAGAAAAACAGAACAGATTCCACTACCGTCGTCTCGCCCGATAATCATACCAGTATCTGGACTGAAAGTTGGGCCATATTCATCCTCTGTTCGGGTGAAGAAGACGGGTATATAGGCTACCAGCCTGGCCGCGGGGGCCAAGTCCCACTACCGTCTTCCCCCGAACACAATGCACGCTCCTTTTTTTATGTTTTTTTTTTTTTTTTTTTTTTACTTTGCTTGGTATTATAAAACGCACCCTCATGTTGACTGTATCGGACCGGACACATACCTTGTATACGTTCATTTTCAGGGTGCGTTATGTTCGGGGGAAGACGGTAGCATGGGTTTGGCATTGATTCCTAGACCAGTGCGGCAGGGTGCGACAGGGTGCGACAGGGTGCGACGGGGGGGTGCGGAGGTGTGCAACAGTAATGCAAAGTTTTTTTACCGAACTTTTTTTTTTTTTTTTTTTTTTTTTTTTTTACGACGTGCATTGCATTAGGATGAGTCCAAACATCTTTAATGTATTCGGTCCAGAATGAGTTCCAAATGCATGTCTACCGTAGTGTTTGGCGGTCTGTGTGCGAGGCCCCATGCTTGCCGAACTCTTGTCACGGTCTGGGCATTGCCATGCCACTCTCGAAATGTGCAAAAGGAGAATGAACCTGCTGCTAGAACATGGCCAGATGCACCTGCCACATTTTTGTCTTTTCCACATTTCGAGAGTGGTGCGGCGAGGCCCTCTGTCCACTACGGAAGGCGTTGCCGCACGGTGCCGAAAAATGAAACGAATGTATCTTCCCCCAGAAAATGGCCAGGTTCATCCGTTTGCTATAAATAGTAACGAGTGTATTTTGCCACCTTTGGTGGCCAGATGCACTCGTTTCGTTTTCGTTTCGTGTGCCGTGCCGCTAGACCCCCACAGTAGGAATACAGCCTCAAAAAAGAAAAAGTAATACAGCCTCAGGACATGGCCACACCACTCTGGAAATGTGCAAAATGAGAATGAACTTCCCGCTAGAACATGGCCAGATGCGCCCGCCACATTTTTGTCTTTCTCACATTTCGAGAGGGGTGTGGGAGGCCCTCAGACTGACTGACACAGCTGCCATGACAACACTACCCCACTCGCATGGACAGCCAATGGGCCTGCGCTGCACTACTCTCCAAATGTGCAAAATGAGAATGAATCTTCCTTTAGAACATGGAAA